CCTTGAAAGGGGTGGTTCGGGAGGTGATTTGAAACAACTTTTTCCTTTGCAAAAATATCGGATGGGGCTCTGTTAAGTAGATATTAATAAAAAAAAAACCGACCAATCAGAGCGCGCGGATACCGTTGGAGCGACCGCGGTAGCGAAGACGACGCGCTGAGCGCCGACGTCAATATCCTTCGATGCACATCGAGTCACTTTTTCGCGTACGAGAGCGGCTACCCAGCGCGTAGCCATTGCTATTGCGGCCGCTCTAACAGTATACGCGCGCTCTGATTGGTCAGTGTTTTCCGTTAATATCTTCTCAACAAATTTCGCTAAGGAAAAAGTTGTTTCAAATCACCCCCTGAACCACCCTTTTCAAGAACCTCTAACATTTTTGGGACACCCTTTATACACACTGTGTGTATATCTACAAGTATAATGTACATTATTCTACGCAATATATAATGTTTTCTCCAGGTTGATGCTATTCAACAACGCTTATTAGAAAATGTTGATGGTGTATTGGCTGTACACGAATTTCATGTATGGCAATTAGCTGGCGATCGCATTATTGCTTCAGCGCATATAAGATGCAGAAATTTGTCGGAATACATGAAAATTGCCGAACAAGTAAAAGAATTTTTTCACAATGAGGGCATACATTCTACTACTATACAACCAGAATTTATTGACGTAAGTACATTATTTTATATATTATGCAAGCTAATTTAAAATGAATTGTACATGATAAATCTTATCTTGTTACAATGACTAATAAAATGTTATCGATAACATTTTAGTACCAGTCAAATAGTGAGATTAAGGAAACACCAACAGAAGATTGTGTGTTGGATTGTCCAAAGACTGACAAGCCTTGTAATCATGCAACATGTTGTGGTCCCTCTAAGCAGGTATGTGTTTTAAATTTTGTTGCATGTTATTTCTTTACGATAACTCCAACGCTTCTACAGTATAACCTCAAGAGAGATACAATTTCCCGTTCTGCATGCCCTAAATCAAAATGTCTTGGCCGATGTTTAGAAGCTATTAAATCAGATTCAAATACAGTTATAGGTAACTGTTTATATTTAAACTTGTTAATCAATTTGCGCACAACGCTCGATAACTGCTTGTCTTAATGGGAGATTAAAAATCTATAGTATGTCAATTGCTTGAGTAGTAGCCTCCTTCCCTGCTTGTTGTCCATATATAAATTCATTGGTGTCTTATTTTTGGATATTTTTGCTACATTAAACTTGAATGTAATTATTTCATATTTGTTTACAGGGTCGTGAAACTCCTTCGCCAGGAGAAACACCATACATGTGCAGACAACGTAATAGTCTCGCACGCTCAACTGGTTCTGTGAGAGGTACAGAACAACAAGAAGTAAATGAAATGGAACGTGGACATTTGCTATCGCTGCCTGTCTCGCATAACTCCGTCCAACTTCCACATTCTCATGTTAATACACCAGTTGTCTAAGTTATCATCGTATTATCAATACCTACCTCTATAACAAAATCTGCGGCGCGTTACAATGTTATTATAAAGATTCAATAAACTGATATACATAAATGTTTTATTGGTAATATTTTCTGGGCTAAGTTCTGGGAATGCTAAAAGCAGCGGTTCCTGTAAGATCACCAAAGTTAAATGGCATTGGGTGCGGTTAGTGCTAAGATAGATGATTACGATAACCTAAGAACACTGCATTAATGTTAGCTTTGGAGAGGACTGTCGACAGATGGAAAATTTAGAGCTTATAGTCATTGTTGTGCATAGTTCTCCCAGGAGGAGGTGGTAGGATAACATGGCTCTGTCCTGTTGATGGAGTAATGAGATAAAGAGAATGAATCAAATGAATGATGCAATTGATTTGGAATCGAGTGATTTAATAGTAAACGAAACTTTAACTATACTTATAGTTTATTTACTATACATAATTTGTTACTACACTTCACAAATTGTTTAACGATACAAATGATCGGCATGAATATTACTCGCAATTTCAGATTCCCACCTGTCTCCATTATTCAAAAGTTTTTCTTTATTATATAACATTTCTTCGTGTGTTTCTGTAGAAAACTCGAAATTCGGACCCTAAAATAGTTAATATAAACATAGCAAACCGTTTTTAAAGCTAAAAAACTTTATTATAAAAGGCCAAACTATTGTCAGTACCTCTACAATTGCATCCACTGGACAAGCCTCTTGACAAAAACCGCAATAAATGCATTTAGACATATCTATATCATATCTTGTTGTTCGTCGAGAACCATCAGCTCTTTCTTCTGCTTCAATAGTGATAGCTTGAGCAGGGCAGATTGCTTCGCATAATTTACATGCAATACATCTCTCCTCTCCTGAAGGATATCTAATAAAATAAATGAATTGCATTTTGTTAACAATAAAATTTAAATTGAAAGGGTTCTTAAACAGAATGAAAATTTGAAGTTTGATAGAAATAATATATATATATATGTATTCATTTATCAATTACCTTCTTAGTGCATGTTCTCCTCTAAATCGTGGACTTAAAGGTCCTTTTTCAAATGGATAGTTTATCGTTGCTGGTTCTCTGAAAAAATGGGACAATGTAATTCCCAGTCCACGAACAATTTCTAAGAAAAATGCTTTCTCTACTACTTGGTCAGCAACGTCATTCCATGTTTTTACATTTTCCTCTTTACAAACAGAATAATATTTACTTCGAGATGAGGGCACAGTCAAAACCTTTGGAGTTGTTTGTAATAGCTTCAAGCCTGTCAATTATTAGAAGAAAAGTCAAACGAATAATTAAAATGAAATTGTTACAGACATTATGTAATTGTACTGTCGTTGGTATATACGTTACTAATATAGTAAGCGTTAGAGGTTATAATATGTTGTAATGTAAAATAATTAAAAAATAGTCAATATTAAAGATTACATTTACCTAATGGTGCAAGCTTGAGAGATGACATCTTGAAATTGTAAAAACAACTTCTTAGTATACGAATAATTAATATTGAAACTTCACTAAACACATATGAAGTAACAATAACCTTCTTCGATTACAAAATTAACAATTTCGTACTTGTCATAATACGCACTTGAATAAATGCACGTATATATCAGAAAGAGTGCATTCGGTTTAAATCCTTCTGTCCAATTTAGGTAAAGTATCTTCAAGTATCTTTCCTTACCATAATTCCCTGCAAGCTAGTGAATTGAGCATGCTAAACTATAAAATACTCCTACAGAGGCGAAACTCTGACATTTTTTAGATCCCGATTTTGAGAGCGCATGTGTATTCTAAGAAGGTGGTTATTTCCCAACTATACTAGTCAAAACCAAACTTAAATACAGAAAGTATTAATAAGTATTAATAATTTATTTTCTATAATATAATTTGTAACTTATTATTGTGATAGTGATTTTTAATGAAAAAAAAGTTGTAATTGATATAATTACAGTTGCAATTAGTTTGTCAAGTATTATTTTATCCAACATAATCGTGCAATCAAATACGCGGCAACTTCGAGACGACAACCGAATTGAAAAATAAAGCTACTAGTGGTTGCTGCATAAAAGGAGCACCTCTGCGCCTATGAGATGACAACCGAATCGACAAGGAGGCTAGTATCGGTTGCTGTATATTAGGGGCATCTCTGCGCCAACGATCTAGCAACCGGGTCTACAAACAGGCTAACTTCGGTTGATATCTAACAGGGGCATACTCGTGGTTACTTGATGACAACTAACATTTCGTTCACTTTTCGTTCAGGCCGCGTTAGTCACCGGTGACTGACGCTAACTTTTCGTTCACATTTGAATAGCATGGATACCTCCCAACACCTCCTTTTAACACCTCCTAAAACCTACTAACACCTTATAACATCTTATAACCTCTCCTGAAACCTCCTAACACCCTCTAACATCTCTTAACAGCTTCTAACACCATCTAACATCTCCTAACACGTCCTGATATCTCCTGAGACCTCCTAACACCTTCTAACACTTCCTGACATCTTCTTACAACTTTGCTCCGCTCGAAACTTCAACAAAGTTGCAGCGCTAAAATTACAACAAAGTTACATTTCAAAAGTTCAACAAGATGTGGAAGATCGCTTCGGCTGGAAACTTCCGAGTTGCCACTTTGTCGAAGTTTGACCAGAAGCTATTTGCAACATTGTTGAATTTTGCCCGCTCAAAAGTTCAACAATGTTGCAAATTGGGGAGAGGGAACTTTAAGGGGAATTGTAGCAAGACATGAAAAAAAATATATACCAGGAAACAGAGGAAATTGAAGGGAAATGTGCCAGAAAATAGAAGGAAAATGAATGGAAATATGTCAGGAAATGAACGAAAGTTAATGGAAAATGTACCAGGAAATGAAGGGAAATTAAAGGGAAATGTACCACGAAATGAAGGGAAATTAGAGGGAAATGTGTCGGGAAATGAGGGGAAATTAAAGGGAAATGTGTCAGGAAATGAGGGGAAATTAAAAGGAAATGTGTCAGGAAATGAGGGGAAATTAAAGAGACATGTGTCAGGAAATGAAAGGAAACTAATGAGAAATCTAGCAGGAAATGAAGGAGAATTACTTTCCATTCATTTTTGGTTTCGATTTGTATTGTACAAACTGTTTTACAGTCAAAAGTATCATACAAAATTTCTTTTTTCTGTCGGCTGCCATAAGTCTTATTGATTGACACAACACAACACACAATGACAGACCCTGACAGAATCGAGCAGCCCCTGAGCACCAGACAGACTCAACCTGAACCTGATAACCCCTGAAGGTCAGAATTTGTTAGAAGGCCCCCTTGCAGAAGGCAACATTGTTGCAAAATGAATATTTTTTATTTGCAAGTTTCTATCTGAAATGTAAAGTTGTGAAGTGTGTGGTTTTAGGTGTTAGTATGTATTGTGCTACCTCTTCATTAATTATATGGTACATCTGGATTTGGGAAATACAGATTTTAATTAATAACGTTTCATTGTCATCTAAAAAATTACTTGTAATTTAATGAAGTTTTTGCCTTAGGATTATATTAAAAATCTATTAATAAATAACAGCTAATGTATTACATATTTAATGAATTTGTAACAAATGTTATATTATAAACATTTAATGAAACAATGCTTCTACATGTGTATAACAATTTATGTATACAAACAAAAAGTTACCCCTAATTTAATTACAACATGGATAATAACTTATTTCTTGTTACAGTTACAATACAAAATTTATTACTATTTACATTATATACAAGTCGACAACTTAAGGTTTATTTATTACTATTACACATGTACATATATACAATAGTACAGAAAATTGTCATAAATATTAGATATAACATAATATTTTACTTTTACATAATATTAGACTTGACAGTTTCTGTTAACGTTAATAAATTAAAACATGAAGCCACTTAAAAAATAGAAATCATCATAGTATTCTCTAAGGTGACTGTACTCGCAAACAAGTTTGATCACTTTTATGTAATCATCAAATATACTTCCCTTTATAAATAGTTTCTTGAACTTTTTGAACATACAACAATTTCGTTTCTTTCAAAATTTAATGTGTATGAAAATAATTGTTTATCAACTTTGTACGTGTCATCTCTGACCTCATTTTAAATTAAATATTTTATTTCTAATGTATTTACAAACTAAAATAATCTTTATGATTATTTTTCCATTCAATTCTAATTTGTAAACAAACAAGCTTATTTTTCTTTACCCCATTCCTCTGAGACATATCTCAGCAAGTCGGTAAGGTTCTCAAATTCAGTTCTACTTTGAGGAGGATCATTCTTTGGTATACGCGGTAACAGAGATCCAACTTTTAATCGAAATTCTTCGGCAGTTTTAGCTCCAGAGAACTTCCAAATACTATAAAAAAGCAATCCACATCCACTAATCGCCCACACAGAACCCCAAAAAAGTGCTCTTGTAGCAAGCATTGCTCCTGACTCTGGAAGACCTTTTCCTCCCAGGACTCCCATATCGAAACTTTTTGTATCTTGTTTTTTAGCTGATGACAAGGCACTGCAAAAACCAATCATAGCAGAAAGTCCTGCTACTCCGCTTAAAAAGATTGTAGCTGTAACACAAATAGCAAAATTCCCCAAATAATTCAATTACATAAATACAAGTTAATAACAAAAAATAAAAGACAGTTAAATCTTTATCACTTCACAAATTTGGAATAAAATTATAGTCTAAATCACATCGTCAAACTTCTAATTAATATTTAAATAACATATTTTAGAGTTATTTTCATTATTTATTAACTTCATGATTAAAATTTCAATAAAAATTTGAGTTATCCTTAAGAAATGAGTCTATTTTGGAAAAATACATGTTATATAAATTTGCGAAGTTTTGATTTATTGTCAAAATTAAATGAAGTGTAACCCATAATTGCTTTTATAACATAAACCTACCATACAAGTTTTCTGTTTGTTTCTTCGTGCTTTTGTCAGACATGATGATTGCTTTGCATTATAATGTATTGTATATAATGTCAAGATATATCGCGTTATCGTGATAATAACAGCAACTTTTGCCTTCGAAGAAACTCGAAGAAAACTAGAACAGTTAGAAATAATTTATAAAATTATAACCATGCTGATTCCTCAGTGGTTTACATGTACACCATAGATCACAGAGTAGTTTTACAGAGGCGAAACTCTCGTCAGAAAAATTAAACCAATGGTTCAATATAGCGTCCTGCCTAAGTAAAGTAAAGTATATCCACGAAGAGTGTACAGGGTGTCCCAAAAATGTTGTAACACCTTGAAAGGGGTGGTTCG